AATTAGTTTATTAATAAGGAAATATATAACTTACGTTATTAGTGCGTTACGTTTCACCGGAAATATTCCAGGAACTGATCCAAAAATATTACTGTGCTCAAGTTTCAACACACAGTGGAAGTGAAGGAAGGGAATGATCGAGCTGTTATAACCATTCACGAGGCTACTTGAAACAACATTTTTCCATTCTGGACACATCAAGTAACATGCACAAGGAAGGTTACACTTTTCACATGAACATTTAATCTGCATGGCAGGAGCAACAAACCATGCGCAATAAGTATAAAACATTTCGATCACTTGTGAACCTCTTAATAAAGGGTTACCACAAAACCTGCATATGACCTTTTCTTGCTGACATGAGGTGTCACCATCGCAAAAGGAACAAATGCTTTCTGAAAGCGAAGTTTCCAATGAGACCACAAACCGTAATGGGCAGACAAACTTCCGATTTGACTGGCATAATCCGACAATGACAAAATGTACAAAAAACGAAAAGTCTTGATGCTTCTCAGGTTGTAGCCAATAAAAAAACTTGGCTCGCAAAAATGTGTAGACCTAATTTCAATCCACATAATTTGTGCATGATTACTCAACACGTGTTTCTTATTGATACCATTGTATTTTTCACGAATATCATTTTGCAGTACCTAGCCTTGTTGATTGCAGGTATGTTTGCCATTGATACCATAGCACAATAAAAATTGTGCATCAAATATGAGATTTATGAAGAAAAGCTCCCGTCAATAAATAATTATGTCTTCTGTGATAGTACATTCAACGAGGCAAATCGCACGTACACTTTACCTTTTTATCAGAGTAAGCCTAACCGAAAACATTACCTTTTGTCGTATAAGTTAATTACCGTTCATAAACACTGCCGTGAGACAAAAAAGACCTGTTCTCCGGGTTGAATTATCCCGATAAACTTTCGAGACAATTTGAATTTGGGCAAGTGAAGACTAAACTGAAAATATTCAGTTTAAGTTACCACTGATCAGACTCAAAATGATCTGCCGATCGGATGATGATGCAAATTCAGCCTTACGTAACGTGCTCTCGTAGGACCGCACAATTCATTTGTATAGTATGCACGCAGATGTTTTACGAATTTCTATTACCCATTTCGCTGATTAGAATGATTCATAAGTCTCAGGTGATACATTCAAGTAGAAAAACTACGAATACTGATGGAGCTACAAGTTTTAAAATTATTCTTCGTCTGATCAATGTTTTCTCATCAATAAGAATGTCTGCAACTGCATTAGGTGCCAACGAAACTTCGGTCGACCGAACTTAATTGCTGAAAAGATGCACAGTAATCGAAAAATATGTTTTGGTTGAAACTGATATCTACTTCCCTTCTCTACTTGGAATGAACCCTCAACAGCAGGTGAGCTAATTCTGGAAGGGTTATTATTTATTGGGAATTTCTAATTAGTATAACACCGTAAATTCAAGACTGTTACTACCAGTCGCTCTCGGATCAATTGATCAAAGCTGGTCACAAGACATTTGCCTACTAGCTAAAGAACGTAGTACATGACATATATCTAGTAATAAGTTTATATATATTTGTTTATAAGGAAAGAATATATATTTATATATTAAAGTTAATTATTCTAATGCACACAAATACCCGAGTTTGGTGCCCACAATGACTGTAATGGGCACTTTATACCTAAACAACGAGAAACTCCAACCTCGACCACCAAATGGAAACCATCTATGGTTCCAGTTAGAGCGAGAGATTTGCCTTCACGGCCTATTTACCATGGACATAAATGCTGCAAATACAAGCGGAGTTTAGACGAAATTGTTCTCGAGTTAATACAAGGCAATGCACTTCCTAAGGGACAAAATATTCCTGTCAAAGGAGAAAGTTTTCGATTCATTAAGGAATTTTACAGGAAAATGTTTGAGTTTCTAGAAAGTGATTATGAGCTTCCGATGTCTTTATGAAATCTAGGCTGATGACAATTAATGATCTATCTATGGTTTTACATACTTCAAATGACAAAACCTGCTCGAATCATAAACCAAGAAAATGTCACTGTTTATGAAAAAAAGATTAGACAGAAGTAATCGATTTAAAGTTACTAAATGGGCGAATAAACTAAATTAATCTATTTCTAACCTCAATATTTGTGTTATGAACGAAAAACTTGTTTCCTTGGAATCCAGTTAATTCTAATTTTTATCTTGTATCGAAAGCATTTCGATGATGGGCAATTTTTTCTAACAAGTATTATTCCGGTATCAGAATTATTTTGAATGGAGTAATTTAATTATATTCATTCAGTTCTAGGATAGTTAGTGGTCTGATAGAATAGCTGAGTAGGGATTACGTATCACTTTACGAGAATAAATATTTCTGTAGAAATTGATTCTCAAGAAAGTAATAAAAAACTTCTGTCGATTGTTAAAATTCGCAGAAAAAATCTCTGAAGTAGGGCATTTTTTTCGAATGTCCAGATAAGGCAAAGCCTGCAATACATTCCATATAATTGAGATTGTTACTTATTAGAACCAAGGCAGGTTCTCGTTAGCAATTTTAATTTATTTCACCGATTTAGGAAGCTTCGTCCAATTTCGTCTCAATTCAAGCAGAGGAAATATGTCGAAAAATTTGCTACTATTATGAGAGTTTGGATGAGTGGGGAAAAAAAATATGAATTGGAAATATCAAAATAGAGCACAGAAGCTACGAAACGAACAAAAATAAAGAGTCAGTTTTGTTGTTCTGTTTTTCTTTGTTATAATGTGTATACATTTGAGCGATTCTTGTTTGATTGCTGCATGAATATTGTAATTATTCCTTGCTGTTGTGTTACACGTTATTTCATTAAATGCATGATTTTTCACTCAATCTTGACGCACTATGAACGATGAGGCGTTCGAGACTATAAATTCTATCGAAATTTTGACTATTTTACCAAACATCTTAATACATACAATGGTAGCAATCAAAATTTGTACAGGCATTGGTTTGGTAAATCGAGAATGTTTTTTCCAACTAACTTAGCTCCAATTATTGTCTGATCGACAATTTTCTGCAACGTGTGGTCCTTGTTGAACTTCTTGAATTTGTCATTTTGCCACAATACAATTATCCACTAAATTTTTTCTCAAGATCCCTTAAAAATTCTTTAACAAATCCCAACATTTTGGAGGTAAAAAGCTTATGCGTTTTTTCAGCATTTCTGGGAAATTCTCGTTTTTTCAGCACTTCTGAGACGATTTGGTATTATAATTTTCATTAGTTGAAAATTCAGCAAAATTAAGCTTGGTAATATTGCAATCTGTTTAGAGACACTATGATTCAGTTAATAGTATAGCAACCAATATTTGCGAAAAAATCGTTGTACGCATCATTTCGAGAACAAATGAATCGGCATATGTTTTTTTTAAATCATCTCTTCTATTGCTGCAAATTTTTATTATGCTGTACTATGCTTCAGTAGATTGAATATTAGAAAACTCGTCGCAAATAAAACTCGAATGAATTTGGAATTGCTGCACAAGTGTTTTGCCCATCATTTAGATTTTATTCAACAGAAGATTAACCACACTTGAAACGCTCAAAATGTATTCAGGTAAAGGAACTTGGGGTGTTTTTAACCCATTAAAAAATTTTCGTTCTAAACTTACTTTATCGTTTCAACTTACCGAAAAAGTTATAGGGGATGAGATTTCTGAAAACCTAATATCAGAAAACCTAATCTAAGGTTGTCTGAGTAATGTAAATCTTGTGAAATTCATGTAAGGATAGGAATCGCTTGCGCTGTGTTGACATAACGACAAACTTACAGGCTTTTTGAATAATAATCGGTCAAATTAAATATTGTTTCACTAGCCAGATATCAGTTGAGCACTTTGCCAATATTATTGATGCAACAATTATCAAAGTTTCATATTCACAATAATCACTTTTGTTGAAAAAATCGCAAATGTGGACTGAGGAGAGTCGTTGGACAGAAAAAAAGATAAGCTGTGAGCTACATGTCTGACCTAATATACCAATTCATTGATACTGCAAGACTATGTTGTGTGAACAATCAAATAAGCTAGACCTTTCGTACAGCGTCAAAAAAAAAAAAAAAAAGATTTGCAAATCTGCTAACGTACCACTGAAAAACGGTGTCAATACACGATTTCCGAGCCGAATGTTCCTAATTACCAATTGGTAATTAGGAATTTAATCCTAATTACCAATTGCGATCAGCGAGGATTAAACTCCTGGGCCTGTACTTTCAAAAAAAGTTAAGAGATCGTAAGTTCATCAGCCAATCATTGACGGCCTTTCAAGCAAAAGCCACCAATCATAGACGAGAAAATAGAGCGTAAGTACTTACGTTCACTTAGCGAGTTTTGAAAGTATGGACCCTGATGTGTGTGACAATGTCAATGCAAGACTGAGCTCCATGAAGATTATTTGCAATTTCAACCGCTCGACGAGACCTAAAAGAAACGGTTATTCTATCAATGATAGGCATCAAGGCCAACAACCACGGATGGGATTGACTGAATTCGTCGATGGTAAAATATTTTCTTGGGGTGATAGGCCGATTTCAACCGCTCGAAGAGACCTAAAAGAAACGGTTATTTTATCAATGATAAGCATCAAGGCCAACAACTACAGATGGGATTGACTGAATTCGTCAATGGTAAAATATTTTCTTGGGGTGGTAGGCCGGCGCCTGATTTCAAATTCATTTCCTTTTGCTGCTATGAAGGTTACAAAAATTCAGGTATACTGAAATATCAATGGTCCAAAATATTGAATTATTTGATTTTATGTTCCTGATCCATGTGTGGACCTACCAATAATCATGGAGGTTACACAATAAAATGTGAAAACCAAAGATGAATTCAATGAAAAAGTTAATCAGAATTCAAAACCAAAACGATGAGTAAAACAAAAACTGAGCAAATTATTTTGAGGTATTTTCCAACTTAGAATTCTATTTAAACAAAAAATGGTGTGTAATACAAAAACATGAAGTCTTCCAACTTGTATTTGAATAAAATAAGCTATTACATGATTTAAATGAGGTGGCAGAGTTCAATGTAGTTTGCAATGATTGCGAAGGAGCATGAGCTGGTGGATGCTGAAGTCTACAAAAGTGGCTATATAACATTAACAATAACAGCATTATTTAACAACAACAATAATGGTCAATTATCAACTAATAATAACTGAGTATACATCACAATTATAAGCAGTCCGTGTCAGTTTTAATCAGTCCTTACAAAGACACTATCATCTATGGAAGGATTATGGACAATTAAGCAAAATATTGAACGAAAAGTCGAAATTCAAGTTTTGCCGTTCGGGTGCCGAGCATCGATACAGCACTCATTTGCTTACATAAATTCAATGGCTCTCTATGACGTGACAGAAGAGCGCAACACAAAAGTGAATAATAGTCCAGATAATAAACGGGAGAAAAAAATTTTAATGACTCGTTTCAATTAACATCGCAATTAAATTGTTGAGAGGTACATAATAATATCATCTAGAAACTCGTATGAGCTCATATATGACAAGTTATATTTCAAAGTCAAATTTCGTGCGAACAAAGTTGATCTGTGCTGTGCTTTACAATGTCCAACAAGACCAAGTGAAGCTTTTTGACACTCGAGAAATAGAAAAACCTTAAACGGAAACTTGAAGCTTTGTATGATTTACGACTGCATATTTTAATTAAGACTTACGTAAATCCAATATAATATGCGAAATTAAATTCATCAGCTATTGTCTATTCATTACGTTGAAACAACATCAAAGATCATGACTGTCTAGATTTAGAAAATTCACATTGGAAGTGATAATAAACAGCCGATTACATAACAAAAAATTTTAATTCCTTCGAAAATAGGAGGAACATTACCAACTTCTCCGGAGACAGTTGTTGTCACGCCTAGCAATTGAATTTGCAACATCGAGAACACACGCTTTAAAAAATCGCGTAATGGTCAACTAGAGGCGCCAAAACATGGAACGCAAACAGGTAGGCACACTAAAAAAGTTGAAGCATGAGAGGCATGAAGACGATCAGGATCTAAAGCCTCGTTTGTACTTGAAAGGAGGGACGCCCCACTCCTCGACTATTAAATAAATGGAGCTCTCCAAAAGCCGAAATCATTCAGCGATTGAGTGCACAACCTGTCGCCACACACGGAAAAAAGTTAAACGACTTGAATGTTTACAAGCCAATTGACTTCTTCAGCTTAAGGGCGTCTCAATTGTTAGCACAAAAAGGCTTCAAATAAAGCAACGACAGCCAGCAATGATAATCCAATTAATTAATTTTCACGCATTTAAAAATATTTAGAATCACGTACCCGAATTTCGAGGCTACTGGTGGTAGCATGAAAGTGTAGTATATAAGGCTCCAATATTATTATTTCAGAAGTAGAAGTGTATCGGGCACGAAAATTTCGTCCAACGCGGCCTTCAATAGACGATCGGACGGGAGTTTGAATGACGGGCGTGAAGTGAGAACATTAAAACAAAATCAGAAATTTAACTGGCAAAAGTTGTGTTATTTGAAACCGCGAACTCCAGTACTATACTGACAGAAAACGACACTGGAGTGAGCAAATAAGTCTTTCATCATCAAAATATCGTTGAACTATACAGAAGGACCACGATTATCAGGCCTATAAAACTATATTTCACAGTTCTTTAGGTTTTGTGTGCCATTTTCAAAGCAATCGATTTTTTGGTCTGAATCATCTACGGATAATACGAAACAAATTAGTAAGCAAATGAAGTTCGGATTTTATGTGTAGAGCATGAATTTGTATTCAGATACGAGTATATACTCACCCGATTTCCTGTTCGTTTGACAGAATCGAACTGAACAATGAGAAGAAAAATTCAATTCATTTTATACTGAGGGACAGGAAACACAAACTGAGAACATTCGCTTTCCGTTGTATAATAGAAAAAATAAATCCTTATTCTTCGATCAGAAAGCCACAATTATATAACAGGGTTGGGAGGCAGACTAGTATTTGGGCTACTATTATTCTTGAACTACAAAAATGAATTTGAATGTTGCATTCGACTTTTCACCATTTTTCTATCAGACATTGACAGTCACAAATACAAATTGGAAAATCCTAAATGTATAGCACTTATTATTTAATAATACACTAATTATTTGATGTATATGAAAAAGAACAACAATGAAGTATGATGCACAGTTAATCTACTAACGCCATCTCTAATAATACAAAATTCATCTTTGACACCAAGGATGGAAAGTCGTTAGCGCTCGCCAGCTCAATATGCCAGGAACAATCTCCTCCATCCTTGGCGAATTACCTTCACTTATCGTTAAATCCTTTCCCCACAATCTCCAAACTCTTCTTATTTAAAAGAAACAAGCGTGCACAGTGCACTAATCATCCTCATTCAAAAGTAAATTGGAACAAATACTATAAAGAACACTGTGAAATCATAGTAAACGATGAGGAATTGAATTACCTAATTTATAATTTTAAGAGAAGAAAAATATAGCCAGCACTTCAAAGTTTCCGAAATGTTATTGAAAGTTCCGATAAAAATATATGCTAAACTGCGATGAACATTTAAGAAACGATAGGAAGAAACGGAAAATGCAACAGTCTGGTATATAATTGTAACATGCAAGCAACGATTGCAGATGCAACAGTAATCAAACGCCAAATTCCCTATTAATTATCCTCCATAACTGTACAATGTTGGAAGAATATCATCACTTCATATAAGTCACTTCATCAACATACTTTGACACCCGAATGCTCGCCGTTGAGTTAGAGATCATATAAGGAAAGATTGATGACAAAAATACGGCTGAATACCGCGGTAACACGTGACCAGCCAACATAACGTTGTCAAATCGTTAGAAGCCGTCGTGTGACACTTCTGTTCAGGATCCGACTGAGACTCCTTCGATTTTCAGACGCTTACGCCTGATTTCGCAATTGATAACAACGTCCAAACTAGCATTGAAACGATACGAGCGAGAAAAAAACTTTAAAATATTATTACACGGTCATATGTTCTGAAGTAACTATCTGTGACCACACCAGGATCTTTTTATTCAAGATCATATTCTCGATTTCGTCGTCTTTCACAGTTGGTCGTAGTTGCAAACTTCCACCGAAAAGGTAATAATACTATTAATTCCTTAAAGGATAACGTATTGAACAATGTACAGGAATCTAAAAGACAAAAAGTAAGAAGGTCTGATAGAATAAAGTCGTAAAATTGCCAATAACAAATCTATAGATGTGAGTGAAAACATCTTTGAATAACACAAAACGAGCAAAAGAATTTAGAGGCAGTTAATCGTGTCAACGAGATGGTGAACTAAAACAGCACTCAGTAAAACCGAGCACGATCACACTCTAAAAAATGCGAAGAACGAATTGGTTTGCAGTCGAGACGGATGGATGGCCTTTCTCGCATGCGTGTTCTGTAAATGCCCACCACTCCTGAATGAATAGCTTCTTCCACTGATGAACAAAAAATTTGCACTGTGCTACAATGAAGCCAAATGTTACTTAATTTCATGTACCCGTACTCTTCTATAAATGAAGAAAGCTCTGTTAACCAGACTAATCAGGGTAAAAAAAATAAAAGGCAGTGAAGAAGTGAGCTGTCATTTAAGTCCAGGGGCAAGTCATATTTCAATAAAATGAGCGAGTATCGAACTTCTGCTCATAGTTCCAGGCTCGAAAAGAACAGTAAAGATTATAACCTTGCAGAGCTTTTAGTTGGCAAACGCAGTAGACTCAAAGGTTAGACGAGAATAAAAGACTAGATCGAAAATTGACCTCTAATTCCATTAAAACAAAATTCGGTTACCCAGTAACATGAGATAAGATGGATGATTTAGTCACAAAAATAATCAGCCGATAATAATGGTGATTGAAAACTTAACGCACGAGAAATGAATTGGATTTGCGTCATTCTGTAAAGATAGCTAATTACTTATGATTAATAGTAAAATTAGTCCAATTTTTGTCCCAATGATGATTGTTCTATCCTTAATATGAGCCCAAACTGAATATGTTGGACTACGATGAATCGCACATATAACGTCGATTAAGTACATTAAACAGAATCATACAATCGTTGACTAAATTGAAGTGTTCGAAGACGTGATTTTACAAGTTAAGTCTTACATATTGAGATCTGCAGGCCAACATTCATTGCTAACTCCAATGTCGCTAAGCATATCAGACACATCAGAAAATTCAAAATGAGATCCAGAGGACGTTGAAACTGCATCGAAATCCAAGTCTGAGTTCAGTTCATCTACTTCTACCTTGAACTCGCCAGGCATTCGGAGGAGATCATCTATAGCGTCCATCCCAGAGATCGGCTCCTGTTTTATTTCGAGAGGTTCCAACTTGAAAGCTGGGCGTATGAGCGGATCTTCACGAACCGTCCTGCCAGGACTGGCAAGAAGAACGTCTCCTTTGCCGGAATCGCTGTCGTCCGCCGACCTCTCCAATTCTCTCGCGGATATGATGCTCGTGGTTATGTTTTCGCTCCTAATGGTTGTACCGGTTAGATTAGCCAAGCTTGTCAAATTGGTTAAGCTAGGAGGTAAAGAAGTAATTGCCTGCCGCACTCTGTCACCTCCAATGGTGTGAAAACTGTATAAAATAGGACTGTGCCTGCCGGAGTCGGGACTCAAGCTCCTAGGACTTGGACAACTACTTTCGCTGAAGGACACTGGAGAGGAAACTGACTTGGGCGACATTTGGTCATCATACAAAGAAGCACTTTCAGGTGAAGCAGGTATTTCTTGGGGAGTGGCGGGCACCTCGGATGGCGAAGTGCATTGGGTAACTGGAACGTATGTGTTTTGAGGAACGGTATTCTTGAATTTTCGATCTATTTTTAGTTTCAACTTCAGTCGATTATGGCTAACAGATGTGATGGTGTTATTGCAAAAAGCTCCCCGGGAAGGGTCCATGGAAAGTTTGAAACCTTTCAGAATTGCAGAAGATTTGTTAGTAGAGTTAGAATGATGAGCGTGTCTGTCTTTTGCTTTGCTCACACGACCTTTCTCGACGATTTTCAACGGCGCCATGCTACCGCAGTCATTGGCTTTCATGTTGTGCCCGCTACCAGATTTCGTTTTCTTACGTGGTCTGTACTTGTAATCTGGATATTCCTTCATGTGCAGCTGCCTTAACCTCTCTGCCTCCTGAATATAAGGCTGGCGTTGTTCTTCCGTGAGGAGCTTCCATCGCTTCCCAAGCTGCTTGGAAATTTCTGCGTTGTGAGTGTCGGGTGCAAACTTGACGATTTCTCTCCTCTCCATCTGCGACCAGACCATGAAGGCGTTCATGGGCCGCTTGATGTGGTTCGGGTTGTGCTTCTTTGTCTGAAAAAGAAGAAAATTAAAATATTAGTTGATAGATAATCTAATCTGAAAAAATGGAATTCATTGCCAACTTAATACTAAGTAACTTATTACTGCACAGAGATAATGTATAGAAATGGATAGATTATACAACCACAGCCCAATATTTTCGTCCGATCAGCTGAAGTAGAACAAGGTAACAAAACAAACTTAAAGGCGCAACCTTAGCAAGACTTCAACACCGTTCAAGTTAGAAGCTTCAAGAATTTGGAAGTCTCAGCCTCGAGGAAAACAAGAAGCTGAAAAAGTGAGCCAAGATTGGCATCCTCTTTCCAAGCTGTTTGAGGCCCAAAGTTCATCCATTGCCGTGTAAGCATCATTAAATCTCAGACAGATTCGCTTCTATCCACGGCGCGTACAGACGCCAAAAAAATCCACCCCTCTAGAGCTCAGTAGTGAGAAATGGGACTGATTTCTGAGTAGCGCGCTTTTTACAAAACGGATATTTTAAAGCAGATAATGTATGAGTAAACTGCATGACATATTAACATATTTAAGCTCGTAAATATAAGTACCTAATTATTATTATATGATTTTTAAATGCATAAGTGTTTTATTTTTGCATTTCTGCACTTTCTCTCCAATAACATCGTATGAGGTGTAAAATACTGCATTTTTCGCGGCATTTGCAGGCTTGGGGCGGCCTTGTCGGATTGCTCGTGCTCATGCGAGCCAGAAACAATTTATCAGGCGGAATTGGGAAAACTCGAGCGGGCGAAAAATACTCAGCTCTACCATCACTCCCAATTCCTTTTTACACCAAGAAAATTACTTATAAAAAGTACTAAATTGTATTTATTATTACTGTCACAAGATTAAATTCGTAAGATATAATGCTTTTCATCCAGAAATAATTTTCTTTTTGACATTATTTTCAAACATTTCCGAGGCTTGAAGATCATAAAATCAAATAAAATATATTCGTCTACACTTGGTATTATAATTCGTCCAAAAATTCGTTCTCAGTGAATACAATTAATTACCATCACGAACATAAAATGTGGTAATTTAAATAGGAGTTGTTTTATTTTTCTCCGCTAGCATCAGTAATATTTAAAAAAATGTGGTATTGATTGAAACTCACTTTGAAAAGGCAACACCATATAAATAATTCACTTAAGCTTAGAAAAAATTGTTTACAAAATCAAATCACTAGACTGAGGTTCGAATTAAGTTCAAATAGTAGTCTTCTTCCGCGCACAAGTGTCGGGAGCGCTAAAAAAAAACACAGGAGAAAAACAGAACACTGATGAAGAAGAGGCCCGCGTAGCTCTTGATGTCTTTTAAAGCAATCAGTCGTCTCAAGTCGCAGGCTTCGGTGACTTAGGTTGACATTTGTTGAACCAACAAAAGAAATAAAAAACAGTAATACTGAACCGCACACAATGAGGAGATGAATTAAGACGGTAGGTCACTCCGAGTTTGGCTGACCGGCCCTAAACATAGGAAATAAATCGCCTCTGAAAAGTTCTGTATCGAATGCAGCGGCGAGTGAGCGACTTATGGTCGTCAAGGTAACAGTGCTTCACTAATGCCTCCAATATATGATCACAGAGCGAGGCTTTTTCGCAAATAAACAAAAATTCAGGCAGCAGATAGAGCTTTTAACATTTTGGACTACAACAAGTTTAATTAACAGATGCACCTAGGAAAATATATCAGATGCATTGTTATTAGCTTAGCCCGTGGTAAATTAGCATGCATATATTTTTTAATTAAGAATTTACTCATTACAACTTTATAAAAAACAAAAAAATTAAATGCGACGAATAACGATGGGTTACAGAAAAAAAATAATAATCTCTGGGATCGGTCTGAAATACTTCAGAAAAATCAATATATTATTGTCCAATGTCGAATTATTTTCATGAATCAAGGTTGCACAAATTCTAAAATCTTCTTATCGAAAATTCTAGTCGGAGTACAGAAAATTATCAAACTTTTCGTATTGTGATGGATCAATAACCATGTAAAAGATCCGGCCATACAAGAGAGGGGCGCAAAGTAAGAAACGTGTGACAAATTACCGCGATCGCGGGAGTAACGAGATGGGTGGCGTTAGGATAGGATCGCGCGCACGTTAATAAGAGTTCTAAGAGTTCTTGTAATGGAGCTGCTGTGGCATCACCCAAATTACTAAGAGACGAAAAGAGCCGAGCACCAACTGGAGGGATTGCTGCAGGATTCATCTCTCATCTTTTGATCCGCTCAAAAACATCTCATGAATTATATGAAGGCGCCCCACGCAATCCCCTACAAAGAACCTGCCACCCGAGAAAATCTTCCCGCCGCAACGCACTAGATTCTCAACATAGAAAAAATTCTGAAAATAAGGCAGGCAAAGCGTGATGTCAGAGATAACAGCGTATGCAGTACGGTAACCAGAATTCATCGCATGGAATCAAGCCAAGTTAATCTGAATTATTCTATCAATACGAAAATAAATGAAAAGACGATCAGTTCTCATGCAACTCCTTGAGTCGGAAAATCCTACTAAGACAACCTAATTATTGCCTCTTTTTTTAGCGGTAGACATTACCCAAAGTTAGAAAACAGCAACTTAACCTTTAAATGATTACATCAGAGAAATAAAGCATGTTCATTCGGACGACATGAAGGATTTAGTCGGACATTGGTGTACAAGCCATCTCATTGTTATGTATCAGTATGAGGTCTGCCGCACTTCATTATAGCGTGTCACTGCCAAGCCTTTAGTTCAGTGAACGAGCAACATAGATAAGCAGAGTAAGAAAAAGAAATTACTAAAAGATATGCAACAACGGAGTCAGAAGTCGGAATAATTAGAAGTAGACTGGCGTAAGAAATTCAGTACAATAGAAGCAGGTGAAGTGTATTGCCTGAATTAAAAAAGCAGCAACAGAAAGCCGGCAGATCACTCCATAAATTTGATATTAGCAATGAATAGACGAATTAAAATTCATGAAAGTGAAGGACTGGATACAAAATTCGTGCAAAAAAAAACACAATTCACAACAAAAACGTTCAAATTCAGCGTCGCAGAAGCAAATATTTATCCGAGTAAAATTTAAAAGTTACAAAGCCTGCGGATATAAACGATAGCAATTCAAGCAGGAATTCTAGAATCAGAAAATTAATTTTTAAAGTAACTAAGTGTTTAATATTAATAAGTTATACATTACCTATTAACTGAATGTAACTGAAATCACTTCTTTATTCAGGAATTTGCAGTTTGTTAAACTAGCACAGATTTCCCGGAGAGGAAATTAAAAGCGGCAAAAAAAAACGCAGTGACTTCCAGCACAACAATTGATAGCAAAGCCGACGATGCAGGTAGGACATTAATTCCCGAATGGAGCCATAAAGCTCAATTTAAGCCATTAAACTACCCCCACCGAGCAAGTAACTCAACGTTAACTGTCCGAATATGTAATCCGCAGCGATAAACACACAATTTATAATAGAGGATTCAATCCTTAAGGATTACTGGGCGAAGAAATCATAATAAGAAATGCTCATTAAGTCGGAATTTCTACGAGAGGATTAAGGCAAAATGATGCACGTTGGCATTATTCGCATTTCTTGCACAAATGCAATAACCTTCTGCTTAATAAATTGATAAGGTGGAGCGGAACGCGAACATGTTGCGGAGTGAAAAACGAGCACAGAATAACTTTTTGTATTTCCTATCAAGATTAAAATAAATTACACAAATTTAAAAAAATATGATTGAAATTGAAAAGAAACTGAGAAAGAAATAACGCTAGATTATTCCGTGATGCATATTAAACATTAAAGTATTCAGCACTTAAATGAAACATTTCAGTAGCTAATTAAGATCCGGCTTGGATCAGGAGCCAAGCAAAAAATTCGGCTATGCTCGTGCTCATGAAATAATGCTTTAAATGATAGCGGCTTATAGAGGTACGAAGCATGTATGGTGTAAATATTATACCCCATTGCATATGTTCACTAAGACGGCTCATAACGCGCTGTTAGGGGCCATACTTTCAAAACTCGCTAAGTGAACGTAAGTACTTACGCTCTATTTTCTTGTCTATGATTGGTGGACTTGGCTTGAAAGACCGTCAATGATTGGCTGATGAACTTACGATCTCTTAACTTTTTTTGAAAGTATAGGCCCAGGCGTCCTGCGGCGGACAGGTGGATGCTTCAATCAGTTTTTATGCTCACGAAGCTCTAAGAAGCCCAGATCGATGCCGCACTCTACAATCCAAACAATATTGAACACATGTCAATAACGCGCTTTGGGAGATGACAGTGTAGATGTTTAATGTGGAACTACATTAGGAGCATGGCTTTCGAATAACAAGCACACGCCTTAATGGCGATAAATGAAGGCAAAATTTTTTGCTTTTGCCTTCATGTTTTTTGTATCAGCGACAAATCAATAAGCACACAATTAAATAGCAATAAATGAAGGCAAAAACTTTGACTTTTGCTGTATAAACGATTTTGCAGTGACACGTACTGTCTTTCTCGTTATCATGCATTAATTAAGCAGCAGTCAAAGTGAATCATGTGCAAGCCAATGACTCAAATTTTTAGTTTATTATAAATCTACGCAAATAATCATAATCTGTCCACGCTGAATCAAAATAACACATAATTCCGTTACCTTATAGACTAACGATGAATCATCGACTCATCACAACAGTGATGAGTCAATGCATATATAAACTATTATCTATGCAGGTTTGATTGAAGACCAGAGCGTACTTTTTATTAACAATTTTCTTAATAAAATTAGTTAATAAGTTAATAAAAAGTACGCTCTGGTCTTCAATCAAACCTGCATAAATGAAGAACTTCTGCCTACCTACACCAATATTCGCAAACTATTATCTATATATGTCAATGCAACTATTATTAAAATAATACAAAGCATATATAAATACACTGTCGCCGTGCACAATAACACTCAAAACTTGTCGCTATTCGCTTGCGTTTACCACAAGAAA